ATTAGATGCGGACTAAAGTTGATGTTCTGATTCTGATAATTACACTTCGTTGTGCTAATAAATTGCCGTAGTTTTGATTCATGCACATATTTCCTGACTGACTCACACAATTGCAATACGTTTAACAACGGCATTGTTGTGTCTGACTATACAGTATTATTTTGTGGTGACAGGCGTACTAATAGTACTATGAATAATAATAGTGTGAATAAATATTTCAACATAGGGAGTACATTAAGGCGCTATAAGTATCAATATATTCGTCATTAAAAATATTTATCATCAAATAACATGTAGTGTGCAAACGATCGGTATAAATAAACAGATAATAAAGAAGCAATAATCCGAAAGGCAAATAAATGAAAATAAATGAGACATAAGAAAAATTATCAAAATTCTGTATTAATTATTGTATTGAGCAATATTGTTTTCAATTAGATATTCATGAGGCTCTAATCTCATATACGAAATTATTTATATTACTTACTTTCTTGAGCTTGTTTCCTCCTCCCCAATGGAGGAAAACATGCCGACCAGCATTCTCCAACCCACTCTGTCATGGGCCTTCCTTTCCAGTTCTGTCCAATCTTAGTTCATTCTTCTCATGTCTGTCTCCGTTTCTCAGCGTAATGTGTTCTTTGGCCTTGAGGATTGCATGTGAGGGTTTGCCTTGTGACGCAGTTAGATGCTTTCCTCAATGTGTGTCCAATCCACTTCCAGCGCTTCTTTCTGATTTCTTCCTCCCCTGGAGTCTGGTTTGTTCTCTCTCACAGTAGGTTGTTGCTGATAGTGTCTGGCCAGTGGATCCGAAGTATTTTGCGTAGATAACTGTTAACAAACACTTGTATCTTTTGGATGACTGCTTTTGTAGTCCTTCACGTTTCCGTTCCATACAACAGAACAGTCTTAACATTTGTATTGAATGTTCTGACTTTAGCGTTGGTTGACATTTGTTTTGAGTTCCGTATATGTAAAGACTTTACATTTTCCAAAGCTTTTCTGTCAAGTGTGATTGGATTATGCATCTTGTGTTTTATCGGAGAATCATGCTTTTCCATTTGTGTATATTGAGACCTACCCCTTTTTATACTGCTGCTACACTGATCGTCTTCTCCTGCCTTTGTTGTTGTGTGTGCGATCGAACAGCCGGATCATCTGCGAAGTCTAAATAGTCCAGCTGCATTCTAGATGTCCACTGTATCCCATGGTTCTCCTCAGATGTTGACGTCTTCATAACCCAGTCGATCACCAGGAGAAAGAGAAAGGGTGAGAGTAAGCAACCTTGTCTGACACTGGTTTTTTCCTTGAACGAGTCGATCAGCTGTCCTCAATGCACGATTTTAAAGTTTGATCCACCATAGGAATTCCGTATAACATCGACTATCTTCTCAGGTACGGGTAGTGTCGAAGAAGCTTCCATAGTGTTGTCCTTCTTTCTCGTAATCAATGAACTTACTGTAAAGTGATGAATTCCACTCACTTGATTGCTCCAAAGTGATCTTCAGTGTTTCGATTTGATCTGTACACGATCGATCCTTACGGAATCCAGCCTGTTGATTTTGAAATTGAGCGTCTACGGTAACTTTCATTCTGTTTAACAATATCCTGTTGAATTCTTTCCCTGGTATTGAGAGAAGAGTGATACCCCTGTAGTTATCACAGTTGCTGAGATCGCCTTTCTTTGGTATCTTGATCAGGTGTCCTTCTTTTTAATCTGCTAGTACTTGTTCTTCATCCCAAATCTTATTGAAGAGAATGTGGAGTATCCTTGCAGTTACCGCTACGTCTGCTTTCAGTGCCTCTGCTGGAATGTTGTCTGTTCCTGCTGCTTTGCCACTCTTGATATGTCTGATGGGCATTCTGATCTCTCCAATTGTTGGTGGGCCAACATTGATTGGTAGGTCTGTGTTTGCTGCTTCGATGTTGGCTGGTTTCAGTGGAGCTGGTCGATGTAATAGTTCTTTGAAGTGTTCTACCCACCTGTTTCGGTGTTCTTCAATGTTGGTGATTACTTTACCTTTTTTGTTCTTCACTGATTGTTCTGGTTTACCATAATTACAAACCGAATCGTGTAACTTTATATCAGCGTTGAACAATCAGTTAAATGGAACTTATCAGCACATATCAAATCCCTTGAGTATGACGAAGTGTTTGACAGTGTGAATAGGAGGACCTTATGGAAACTTCTTCGACACTATGGTGCACCTGATAAGATCGGTAACATCATACAGAATTCGTACAACAGACAACAGTGAATAGTGGTGCTTAGAGGACAGCTGACAGACGCATTCCCACTTCCTCTTTTTTCTAGTGATTGACTACATTATGGAGATCCCTATATCTGAGGGAGGCGTGGAATACAACGGACAGCCTGCATGTGACTAGGGGATTTAAACTTCACAGATGATCTGGACCCTCTGTCCCATAAACACGATCAAATGCAGGTGAAGACAACTGGTGTAGCGGCAGTCTCTGCACCAGTTAGTCTAAACGTACACTAGAGAAAGACAAAAATTTTCAAATACAACACAGAGCACTAACCAAACCACGGATGATGGAGAAGCTCTGGAACAGGTGGAACCTTTCACGTACATGGGTAGCAGCATCATCGATGAAAGAGGAGGATCTGATGCAGACGTGATGGCAAGGATTGGCAAAGCATGGTCGGCATTCCTACAATTGACTAACATATAAAACTCAAAAAATCTATCAAACAATATTAAAACTACAATCTCCAATACTAAAGTCAAGACATTTATCCTATACGGAGCTGAAACGTAGAGAACAACAATGACCATCATCAAAATAGTTCATGTATTTATAAATAGGTGTCCACACAAAAAATTCACTGTGCGTTGACCGTAAACCATCAGTAACAACCTAGTAAGCGAGAGCACAAGCCATGTTCCAAGTGAGAAGAAAATTAGGAAAATATGTTGGAAGTAAACAAGACGTACACTGAGGAAATCATCGTACTGTATCATGAAGAATGCGTTTAACTGGAATTCTGAAAAGAGGAAGGCCGAAGAACACTCTGAGTCAGGAATCGGAAGCAGACATGAAAAGTATCAGTAGCAACTGGAAAGAACTGAAAAGGATGGAGAATGCTGGTGAACATCCAGTGATTCTTTACGAAGAGTAACAGACGCATATACGGTAGAATAGAAAAATCTGAGTCGTCAGAATATTCTTTAGAACAATAATTGCCAGTCGCGGTTACGGCCTGAGCTCAAGTGCAACATGAAGCGACTAGGTTTAACCTGGACTCTGAATAATTGTCAGTATATTTAATATTGAACCGTTATAAGGTTGGCGATACGAACCTTGATTATATCTTGCCCCATATTCCAAATGCTTCTCCACAAAATTCATGAACGATATCTTAAAAATTTTTTCGTCCAAGTACTGAAACAACTTGGTGATAGCCGGAATACTCGTTTTTCCATCATTTTGTCGACGGGTTTCTAGTTTACCTAGTGTCATCTTTCTTTTAATTATATCTCCTAGATTCATTTCAGTTCTTACACGAAATCTGATATTATCGTGCCATCGAGCGTCATTGAGATAATGGTTTTGTTGTTTCTCTGATCACGTGATTACTTTAGGGAGTCTACATGGTTGGAATTCGACATTTTTATCAATCCTCCGACCCATTCTTATCAATTTTCTTACCTGAACCACTATCACGTCATCTGTCATGATGCTACAATTAAACGTTCCGACATTTTCCAGATCATGCGTGTGTTTAATTTTTAGATCATAATCGTTTAATTCTAATAGGCTACGTAGCATAATAGTCAGTGAGATCGGGCTTGTTCCAGCCCCGTCAGGCCCACGTCCTGTCTTACCTTCCGACCTTGGGGGTTGTTCTGTGCGCAGAATGGCAGTCTACTCAATGCTTATAAATCGTGTTGTAGATTACCAACGTAGATGATCTATGTCGAAATGATTGGAGGCCTACTCGAGTAAGACGGGAATGGTGTGACGAACTAACTTACATCTAAGTCACACCTCGTGGTAAGCTTCTTACGCGGACTACCCCATTGACGTACTAAGGTACTATAGATGCCTTGAAGACTGTACAACACAGAGGACGTTATTACAGAAATATATTAGTTAAAGTAGACAGAAGCGAAAATAAGACCAATGCCGCATAGACTAGTCAGTGGCGTACGACTAACCGATGCACGTTGGTTGTCCTTGACCTTGAAGAGGATTGATGATTTATCCGATATACAATGACCCAACTGCACGATGATTTGTCTAAGGCTCTGAAATTTCACTGGCCCTACAGTGTGCTGCCCGTGGCCTTTTATATTTCGCGTCCTTGTCTCCGCACGGTCGTCCACTTCCCTAATACTTTAATATCATGATTGCCATTGTCCATTAATGCTCTATCCTTTGTTTGTTTAAAAGAGATCGTCCTCTCCTGTGATTCTCAGTCGGATGTTTGGCTCATAGTCTCATGGATAGGCAATACCTTACTGGATTAGCAAAACACACGAAGCCAATGAGATTTAGCCTTCCAGCATATTTTGTGTGATATGGGACTTGAACGTGTACACACCTTGTGGAACCATTTTTCAAACTCATCCCATCGCATTCCCTCGTCTATGGAAAAAAACAGACAACAATTTTTAGTTAAGCCGACCATTGTAAACAGATTAATAACTTAAAAAAACTCGAGAAAAATATACAAAATCTTCTCTAATGTAAGAACCAGATAAAAAGAGTACCACAAAACAGATTTAAAGGAAATTTCAAACCTGAACCAAAAAAGTAAAGTCAAAGTAAACCAAATGTGCTTTTGATGCAATAAATACATAAAAGCGAAATAACCACTGCCCTTTCTGAAACACGGGCTTGAACCAAATGGAGCAGTACCTGCTCTTTCGGTCGAATCTTTTGAAGGAAAACCTAACAAAAACGGGAGTGCAAAAAAGGAATGGCACAAACCCTAAGACTTTTGTCTTTAGAGCAAAAAGTCAAACCTTTCCTTTGGAGCGGTTGTTTCGAATGGTCACGGTACAGGAATGAATTGTCATGTGAGTATTTCGTTGAGTTAGTTTTTGGTATTTGATTTTTTCAGGTATTTTGAAGTGCTACTGTGTATCTGGAATAACCTGAGAAGTATGTTCAGGATTTTACGCGGTCAATTTTTCCTAAATATATAAATTAGCTATCAAACCGTATGATGCATATATGTTTGCACTTTGCGATTGTGTAAATAGCTGATCAAGAGCTAAGTTTTTAAAATATGTCGAAAACGGTAGCTTTCTATGTTCAGGGACTTTCCTTTTGGTTACACCGCTCGTCAGGAACCTTCAGACTACAAGATTCCGGATTTCGAAATTCTGACAATAGAGGGGTTTATGTTGTTTTAGTCCTGTCTTTTGCTAAAGTAAATATCTATCTAATTGTCCCCGAAATTTGCATGCATAATGTAGTAATCGGTCATGTATAGATGTAGTCTTTCGAGTTTCGAATCTTTCCATCTGTGCAATTTTGATGTGAACTAACCTGGCTTACGGTGTTACAGAGTGAAAAGCTGATTTATCACTCACAAATTCATAAAATTGGCTTTTGACTGCATATGTAAGAGCTAGTAACACTACACAAATACCGAACTGAAGGGAAGCGTTGTTCCATATTTAAGCATATTGGTTAGAAGCTCTGGTGAGACTGAGGCTGTGTTCATCAACCACCAAGTATTTGCTCCAGTGTCATAAGATTTTATATTTCTATTGCTTGTTTTAAAGCGCAAACGTATGTCAATTTGTGTGATATTACTGGGTTCTATGTCTTATGTTTTTTTACCACGAAAAACATCGTTGCTTATTGGTTGAAGCAATATGTTGACGCACCAGATCAGAAAACTAAACTTGCAGGTTTCTTGTATTAGATTGTTTGTTCTTTTTACAGTTATTAACTTAGAATTCAGTTTTATTTAAAATATCAGAAGCTTGATGAAATTCTCCAAGATTTTTCGTAATAATCTATATTCACTTCTGTCGTTTTTCAGCATAATTACTTTTGGTGCTGCTTATGGAAGTAAGAGATCTAACTAAGCTAGATAGAGTTTGATTGTAGTTTTCTGAATAATATGATAATATATGCCTTACACTTCATTTTTCATCAGTTATTAACATTTTGTTGCAACCTTATGGGATATGAAAAATTTCCTAAATACTAACTAGGTTTTCTACTAATTAATTGTCATTCAATGAGTTCTGTCATGATATTTAGATTATGTCCTATCCAAGGTAAACCTGCACTTTATGCTTATTTTCATGCTTAAATTTATGTTGGGCTTGTTGTAGTTTTTTGTTTGGTTGTCTTCGAAATTAGCTATCATTTTGTTCACTCATTTCTTGTCCCAGCAGGATATAATGTTAAGTGCATTTCCATTGCAAGCTTCATTATGACATTCGGTTTATTTATATAAAGTTAAATTCAAGCATATTTGTATCATTGAGCGAAATGACGCCTATCGCTGTTTTAGATACAATGGTTCAAGACGAAAATGAGGGGTATACAAACTAGAATATATGCAGTCTGAGTGGTTTGTATTATGAAAATTTCACCTAAGGATAGTGTAAAATTGTCGTTTTATTGTGATTTATAACTGACAGAGTTTCATAATTGCGTGTGAAATTATTTATCTTAACGTTTGTTTACAGAATTGGCCTGTCTGCTTTGGATAATTAACTTATCGGATATTAGTGGCTGTAAGACGGCTTTAATCGGCATGAACGTTATTACTGATATGCTGATAAGTTTGTGAAACTATATAAGTTGCTGGAATCCTACTTTGAAACCAGTGTTTAAGGGTTTATACATTTGGGTCGCAAATTCACTTTTGACTCGGTACTTTAATACAAATAATTTCAGAAGGGGTTTTGAGGTTGTAGTAATTTCAACAGTTGAGGTCATGAGTCAATTTAATCTAGACCACCATGGAAAACCTGGAACCACTAGATGGCCGTTTCGTGTGATTGTGGGACTCCTTAACAGTGGATATCCATGATTCCGCCTCGCGAGATTCGAACCCAGGACGTATCAGTCTCGCGCCAGGCACTTAACCAAATAGACCACTGGGCCGGCATCCAACGGTGTTCATGTCTAACTTCAACTAATCCACGAAATTGAGCGACACATCCACCATTGTCATCAGTGAGTTACTACCTCACAACTGAGCCGGTTGAACTCCACTGGTCACTGCTTCTCACTAGAACTCCAAGATATATCTCTTGAAGCCAGTCACTAGTGAGCATATGTTGATTAGTATCAGAAGGGGTTTTGTGGAGATTGTAGTAATTTCAATATTTGATATCATGAGTCAATAATTTCGTAAATAACACTAATTGTGGTTCTCCAGTTAATCGATTTTACAATACACCATTCTGCATCACCTAAAAGAAGAGTTGTATATTGTCAGCAGTATTTTAAGAACATCCCTTACTCTTCTATTATGTAATTTAGTCGTCGTTTTCGTCATCGTTGGATTGATATCGATATTCCAATGTCCTGTGAATTTCATTAGCGATATCATTAAGGTGTCAGATGGGTTTTAAAACAGAAATAATTCTAAATATTCTCATAGTTGTGTGGACTTTTGTTGTCATGGAGTTGGAATTTCAGTGTTGGGCGCAAATAGCTTTACTGAACCCAAATCTCTAGATATTAAAAGCAAGGCTAAATTTATTACTTTTCAACTAGAAGTAAGGATATATATGTCGATACACTACTTTCGGTTTCTATAATTTGTGAAAGCAGTGTGTTTCATTAATTTGATTGGTTTGTCGATCTCTCTGAAGTAATCCATAAAAGTTGATACAAAATATAGGTTTATGTATGTCTACTCTATATATGAGGTAAGGATGGCAAATCAATTGATGAAGTAGTGAAACTTCATCAGTTGAGATGGCTGGGACACGTGTTACGTATGCCCAACCACCGACTGCCTCGGCGTGCGATGTTCAATGGTATAGGAGTAGATTGGAGGAAAGCTAGGGGCGGCCAAACCAAAACATGGCACAAGTCCATGAAGTCACTGACAAGTAGACTGAGTCATATTGGTAGGTGTAGACTACCTGGTTGGGGACCGCGAGATGATAGCAACCGATGGTTAGAGACCCTGAATGACATGGCTCAAAATCGTTTGCAATGGCGCAGGTACATCCACTCTTTGTGTTCTCCCAAATTCTAATCTTCTGAATTCTTCATGTCATTTTCTTTTTTCTCTTTCCAAATTTGTTTCACTGGATTATACTCCTTGAATAACATCTTTAAACGCTAATGTTTCCGATTACTGCTTATACTCTTACTACCTCTAGCACTACGAGATTTGGATCGACCACTGCATCTCTGTGCAAATGTGGTGTGGCAACTCGAACTTATGTACGTACGTACGAAGTTTTACGTTGTTGCTAACTGACTGACTGATCCCTAAAGTGTTCTGCCCATCGATCCAATCTCCTGGACTGAGAATGTATAATATGTCCATCTTTCTCTGAGAGTGTTTCGCTAACAGTCGGTTTCCTTAACAAGTCTGAACAATTGTCTGCTACTATCTATTGCCGCTGTCTTTTCCACCTCTCTTGCTTTCGCTACCCACCACTGTTTACGATCATTGCGTAGACTTCTTGTCAGCTTGCGCTTAAGCTGACTCCGCTCTTCATTATGTTCAGAGCCAGGTGGAATGAGTTTCCGAGCATCTATCAGTGCGATAGATGCTGCTGAGATCCAGTGTTTCTCCCTAACATTGTGGTTTACCTTACTAGCAGATATCACTGCTGTTTCCACAGCTTTTCGGATATCATTCCATGCTGCATCGGGGTGGGCATCACATACATGGCTGCCTAATTGTTTTTCTAGTTCCTGAAATATACTCTTAGCTTGACTATCATTAAGTAGACCCTAAGAGGTTTCCTTGCAGCATCTTTCCTACGTCCAGTAAGACGCAGGCAAATACGCGCTCGTACTAGAGCATGATCTGAATCTAAACATATGCTCCAGAATGAGCGACAGTCTTCTATCGAGCCCCTCCATCGATGACTAATAACGCTGTGATCTATTTGGGTCCAAGGTTGGGACGAATTAGGGGGTCGCCATGTTAAAAGATGTTTTTCCTTATGCTTAAAGTTAGTATTCGCAAGGAACAGTCGGTTATCTGAGCATAGCTGCAACAGGTGGTTGCCATTGTCTGTTCTTTGAGCCACAACACCATAAGATCCACCTAGGTGTCTTTCCCTATCGCTTAGTTTACCTACTTGAACATTAAAGTCACCAGCCACTATTACTACATCAGAGCGCTTATCTTTTCGGAGGTCGGAAAGCTTTCTGTAAAACTCATCTTTTACATCATCTGAGCTGCAGTCAATAGGGGTAGGCAGAGACGACGAAGAGGTAATGACGAGTGTCCCTATCTTTCCGGATACTTACTGTTCCGTTTAGTCGGACAGCACACAAACGACTGTCTATTGGGATCCAGTCTAAGAGAGCTAGTTCTGCCCTAGGACTCATCGCTATACCTACACCAGTCAGTCAGTCAGTAACAACATAGAACTTCGTACGTACGTACATCAGTTCGAGTTGCCACACCACATTAGCACAGAGATGCAGTTGTCGATTCAAATCCCATAGTGGTAGAGGTAATAAGAGGATAAGCAGTAATCGGGAAGATTAGGGTTTGGAGATGTTATTTAAAGAGTATAATCCAGTGAAATAAATTTGGAAAGAGGAAAAAAGGGACATGAAGAATTCAGAAGATTAGAATTTGAGAGAACACAGAGAGTGGATGCACCTGCGCCATTGCAAACGATTTTGAGCCATGTCATTCAGGGTCTCTAACCATCGGTTGCTATCATCTCGCGGTCCCCAACCAGGTAGTCTACACCTACCAATATGACTCAGTCTACTTGTCAGTGACTTCATGGACTTGTGCCATGTTTTGGTTTGGCCGCCCCTAGCTTTCTTCCAACTTACACCAGTGAGGTCACGGAAAGCAGTATCAGGACTTCCAGATACACGAAGTGTGAATCGAGTCGGTTTTTTATTTTGGCATGGTGAGGTTAAATGAATGACGCTACTCGGGTCCTGTATGTGTGTTTCGGAGACGCAGCACACATCGATGGCGCGGGATTCTAAAGTCCTAGCTAAGGAAGCCTGCTGTCCTATTTGGCAAAGTGTTCGGACGTTAAAAGCTCCTACGTGTAGTTTAGAGCGTTGTTTCAGGAGACCAGGAATAGCGTTCCACGTACTCGAATCGTTTGCCCTAGCAGTGCGAGGTGATAAAGAGACGTGAAGAGGGTTAGTCATGGAGATAAGAGAGGTATTAGGAGGTGTAGGAAGGATTTGAATGTGACCAACTTGGTCTCGTGTGCTGTTACGGGTATGAGGGCCGATGTCACTTCCCGGCTGCCCACACCGTGGAAGGGTATTTCTTGAGGAACCTGAAAAGGAAATTGGATTAGTGTTGGTCTTAACGACCTGGGAGCGTGACCACAGAGCCCAAGGGACAACTGCTTAAGGCCTGTCGCGCACGGCTTTTTCGTGGGAGGTTTTTAATATGTTAGCTCTGTTCTTCGAAGGGCCTTACCGCCAAGTATCAGAGTTGTTAGCGAAGTACTGTGTGAATTTTCGTACAATGGAACTAACTGTAAAGGAATATGCTGCCTGGCTGAACGGTTAAACCTTGATTTTCTTGGTCTAGATATATTAGAAAAAACTTAGAATAATAGATATACCCAATAACAGTGTCTGCAATATGTCGTGTTCATCATTGGACACCGATACGTATCGATAGAGAAGCAGTTCAATCGACATTATGGGGCACGAAGACGATTGTTCACGGGTGGGTCAAAGAGTACTTGCTATGCACTATCGTGGAAAACATCTTACATGGACAGCTGGTCGGATAGTGCAAGAGAAAGAGAATGTAGTTTATGAGGTGTCAGTTGACTCAAAAGTTTGGGTACGTCATGCCAATCAATTGGAAGCAAATTCGATAACCAGCAACGAGACTCGATATCTAATACCTCTTGATGTTCTGCTAGATACCTTTGGAACCAAAACACCTGGAATAGACATGTCAGTTTCTGTGCAAGCAAAGAGTGATACGACTTCTTTACTGCCTAGATGATGGACAAATCGAAAGCACAGGCCAGTCACTCGGTTGCAGTTGGACCCAATCACTAGATCCTACGAGTCTGCTCAAAGAGGAGGTGTTAGCGGGACATAGATTGGATTAAAGCATGTCCCATGCACGATTGCGTTGGTGCACGTTGATTGGTTGTTTCTTATCCAATTAGCGCTAGTCGATACTTGGAAAGGACTAGATTCATTTCTTCATTGGTGTGTAATCCAAATGACCTCTGTTCATTATTTCACAGCTTGCCGTTAATTGAATATAGATTTCATACTGAGGATGACAAACAAACTTCCTGTTTATCATCATCCAGTCATCGGTCTTGTAATTTGTAATATGAAAAAGATTTTGTCGATTGTCTTCGATATTTTTGTTCCTAGATTGATAATATTAGTTTGGGTTTTTGTTAGCCTTTTTAAATTTATTTTGAAATATAGTAATATACCTCCTGCTGCACTTCAACAATGAATTTATTAAAATCGATTTATTTGCATTTCTGATCATGAGCAGTTTTCGGAAACTATTTAAGGGATAATATACAATCCTTATTTTTAAGAAAATGGTACACATGAGACCAACGTTTCCACAGACGCTTATGTTTTAGTTCAGATTTGTCCAAAATGCATTGTTTTCTGTGGATCTTATTGTCTGATCTTGTACTAGAATTTGTCTAGTCGTCTAAGAAATTTGTGAAATCATCTCTCAAATATTATATAGTTTGTTGGATCGAGTTTCATTTTTCTTTATCATTGCGATATGTTTATAAGCAGGATTTCTTACAAACGTAAATGTAATTTATTCTAGCCTTTTCATAGTTTTGAAATATGCTTCTTTCTGTAATGTTCTTCTGTCAGGCCTACTTTTTTGTTGCGTAGAAACTATCCATTAATTCATCAAAACTCGTGTTTTATGTCTTTGACATTTTCTTCACATGCTGATTTTATTCTCTTTGCTCGAAGCTATATTTCTAAATTTCGTTATTATTATCTTATTTCAGATTTTATTTGTTTTCAAAGTTGGCCATTCTGTACAACGAAAACCTAAACCTGTTAATGGTCGGACACATCATTGGAGGTGTTATGTAGACAGTTGGAATCCACGTTATCCTTTGTCAGCATTTGTGAAGAAAGTCACTTTTAAACTACATAGTACATTTGAAAATCCGAGACAAGGTGTCCGCTTGAGGTTGTTTTATGTATATATGTATGTATATGTCATTTAGTTCTAGTCACTACACGTAGATAGGTAGGAAATTTACTCTGTATTTACGTTTTGAAATCCTTATTACTCCTTAGCGATTAATGTTTCTTGGATTGTGGGGGCAAAGTTAGATCCAATCGTTCCACATCTTATTGTTTTCACATTCTCACGACAAATTTCCACTGTTTGCAAGTATATTTAGTAACCAAAGAATTCTCAATAGTGAAATATTGTTTGATTTGTTGAGAGAACTAAACTTTCAGTATTCGGTTATGAGTGTCTTTACGTACTTTGGTGCTAGCGAAATACCAATGTCAAGGCTTCAGGTAGAGTTTCGATAAAGAGGAACCAATCAATGTAGTTGCGAATTCTCGGTAACTGAATCATCTGAGATATTTATCCGCATCTGATTATGGGTTATCTCGATTCACAATATCGAAAGTCGTAATAACGAACTAGTGAAGGTCAGTCCAAGTTACCTCATCATTCTATAAAATTAATGACTTTTGATCTGAACACTGAGTCAGTCATTTAGTATAAAAAAATCAATGGTCTAAAGTTTTAAGTGATATAGCCCAGAATAGGCTGTAAATTCACATCTTGTTCTACATCTTGAACATATTCTGTGTTTATTTATTTTTCATTCGCTTCTCCGTACTAATGTTAATATATTTCCCCTTTTCTGTTTTTTTTGTTATGTATTGATTCGATACACACCTGTTTCAGGCTCTAGTTTTTTCTACTCGTCTGTTTGAACTGAAAATGTATAGATTAGCCCTGATGCTCATAGGTTTACTGAATCCAGCTTTTCACATTAATGTATCCCGTGGTTTTCCACATATTGATACAGGTCCATAGCTTGATTCATATCTTTCCCTTGGTATTAACATGATAAACTCGGAAGCCCTATCATGCATGAGCAGTGTTCTAAAGAATATTGCAGATTGTAATCCGCTATACATGCCACACCCTATAGAAAAATATCACTGTATATACTCGTCCCTTAATCACAATATGTTAGTACTTATTAGCTTGAAAAATAAAGTTCTTAATCCACCCTATCCCACTAATCATTATCGTCTTATAAGATCATTTACACGTTTTATTCGAGTGAAAATACCCTAAGCCTAGCTGGTCTTGACGTTTGAGCCAATTCATCTACATCTATTCATTTAGGTTGATGAATTTGTTGAACACATTCAATCGGTAGTTGATGACAAAATAACGTATTTGAGTTCAACATTGAATTGGTGTGAGATTGTAGCAAATAGCATATTGCTTTACGATAATATTACTCACACCTTTAATATATGATAAAATTAGCTAAGATGACGTCTTTTTTGTCCTGTTTTAAAATTCTAATTACTTTTACACAAGATTTCATTGTGTTCATGGAGTAAATTCTCGATTCCTGTCAACTATCATATGTTTAACTCCTTTAGTTAGGTTAGAGTACAATGCACCACTTCTACAGTATCAAGGTTTAGTAGGATGTCTTAACTTTGGTCATTGATAAACTTAATTACATGCCGTTTTTTTGATAGTTGTGCGACAAGCTCCGTTCGCTATAGAAGAAGATGGTTTTGGAACATTCCAGCTTCAAATTGAAGTCGCATTCCTTGACTGTGTTACTACATTTTACTATGATTTAACACTTTTCGATCAGAATGCTTTACACACATATCGTACGATACAAATGGATCCCGCTCCTGAAGATTGGAGTAAACTCATTCAACTTGGAGGAGTAAGTTAGTTGTATGATTTGTTTGAGTTGTAAATTTTATGATCATTAGTTTGTTTTAATTCTTTTCTGGTATATTAGCTTAAATACTCCATATATTGTGTGTATTTGTGCTTCAGTATGCCACGCAAAGTAATTATTTGTATAATTCTGATAAACTCAACTTTATTCGTTTTATTTTTTATTCATATTAGATGTTAGTCCAAGTCAGTCAGCAATGTCAAAACTGAGACATATATGTATTCGTTCAAATCACTACACCATATCATTACAGCTTAACATTAAAAACAAATATATTTGAAGTAGATTGTTTACGAGTAATTTACCATCGCAATGTGAACCATTGTAAAGTATCAGTCTTTCACCATATTTCTATACTTAACAAATAAACTAGTCATAATCGTATAAGTACAGGTGGTAGTAGTGAAACAATTCTAAATGAAGTGAAACAATATTTTGTATTTTCTTTTTTTCGTATTGGACAACTGATATCGAAATATTATTGAATCATAAACGTATTACTTGATTTTCAGATAAAAAAAGTATTTGTTTAGTACATTTACTACTTTCTTAGCGGTCGTCCAGATTTTTAACCTTCTTATCCGTTTTTAAGAGGTTATTAATTAATTAATAATAACTTTCGTCTAAATTCGATCGAATAGTTTCACAGTATTTGGGTGCCGAGTTAATATGAGACATTAAAGAGGAAGAATGTATTTGTAAAACCTCAGCGAATGAATTTCGAAGTAAATCCAACGTTTCGCCTGGCAATCTGGTCCAAACTTTTTCAAGGAAATATAATCAAACATTACAATTATCGAATATAAATAGATACATGGTTCTCTGGTTCACTGTACTGAAAAGACCATCCAATCAACGTTAACAATGTTTAAAGTATGTATCTACAATAGTGTGTAAGAGACGTGTGGTGTGAAAACGAAAAGTGTTAAGATAACAGATTGTGTGTAAGTGAGAAGAAATTTAATTCACTATATATTGTCTTCGGCCAGTGAATATTAAGAAAACATATAATTTTCTATATATGATATGAATCAAAAATGTCACAGCATTCATTAAGTGAAAATAAATAAACAAGATAAAAGAATGAATTCAAAGAGAAAGAATGCATTTGTAATTGAAAGTTTGTGTTATTGTTAAATTTCCAGTCAACTGTTTAACATATTCAGATAAGATAACTGATTTGAACCGTTGAATGTTTTATCTGTTAATTAGTTTAATGCAATATAGATAGAATGGAATAAGGAGTTCAGGTTTACTTAATAATTATTAGTTGCCATGAGGCAGCTAGTTGTATTCCATCTCTCCTATTAATACTGTTTGGATTAGCCCATATATGTAGGGCTTCAGCTGTTAGTCTTTCTTTCTAAGAATTAAAGCCTTTTTGAAAGATTCTTGTGCCATTCAAATCACTTGTATGACCCGATTCTATCGAGTGTAATGCTATCACTAATTTGTTCTCGAGTTTTTTTTACCTCAACTGAAGATTTCGGAATGTGCTTCAACCATAGTTTGTGTTCTTTCACCCTCACATTCAGTCGGATTTACTTCGAATTTCATTCGCTGAGATTTTACAAATACATTCTTCCTCTTTAAGGTTATTAATTAAGTTGAAAACAATCAGTTCTCCATATATGTATTAATCAATTACTGTGTCAGTATCAATGATTATAGTAGAATTTCTATCGTTCTTTATTCAGTAGTAATTCTAACTTAGTCTTAAAAACAAACTGTATTATTTCTTTGACCCTTACACATGTAAAGTGTGTGTGACTCATTAATAAGATGATGATACACATGATAGTATTTTGTCTTTAACTTGTTTTTATTTATCCATGTTCACCCCTATATTCTGATAGTATTTTCTTATACATTAGTTTAATCTACATTTTAAATAAAATTTTGCAACATCGAACATCTTGTGTAGTTTTCACGAGTATTTAAAAAACGATCATATTATTTATTTCATTGAATAATGAGAGGTGGTTGATTAGGTGCTCTTTTTTCTGTATTGTTTAACCTTAATGATTGTTTAAATTGTTTCCATAAATTATTCATGTGAGAAAATGTCAATGAAATAACCTTTTAGACTGATATCGAATGCTTCATCTTTAAAAAAAACAACTAATGCTTATCAAAATGTAATACCGGCAAAAAATTCATAATTTGGTCTGCAATTATTTATCGCCTAAGAAGAATTTGTGCTATATAACTAGATGGTTACCGATATGTTTTTTTTCAGTAATAGAAACTTCCTGCAAAGAATTTGAATGACTAATATCTGTAAACTTGCACTTGTATATAGAAGCTAAGTTATGTGGCTTAAGTTGTTTAAAAATACTTTTATATAGTAACTGATTATCATGAATCAGTTCAAGTCGAATAATAATTAAGTTTATCAATTCACTGGACATCGTTTCCTTATTTTTACTAACTTTAGGAATGTTTTTATTATGTGTAATTTTTGTGTTTTTTTCTTTTTAGAACTAATTATTTTCAGTTAAGTATTGATGATCATAATTTTTCGTTTTCATTTTTCCCTACTTTGAGTAAAGACTTTACTGCAACACAAGATGAATGGAGTTCGTTTAGTGATCATTGATAAAACAAGTGTGTATGACATATATAACGTATAGTACATTTTATTCTACGTTTTCTGTTTTGTTTTATATGGTTGACATTAGATCGCTATTCCACGGACATCAACTCAATCTACTGTACATGAGATCGTTCAAACTATTCAGTCATACTCTGACCTAGAATCACTTCATCCATTTTCGTTCTATCCAGAATTGGAACCAACTACAAAAGCTGTTAGCAAAGTAGGTATTCCATATCTTGACTATCGATCTTTGCTGGAAATGTTCATTTTCAGTTCATTACTTTGTCAAACCGAGCAGTCATATGCAACCTAGATTCTGACACATATGTCGATCGGTTTAATTTGCTATACTTTACCAAAGGAGTAATAACCTAATCTACTTGATTCAGAGTCGTTTAATTTCTATGTATAAAGTATGTCGTTATTATCATCAGATATTAGCAGTCGATTTTTTAATTTTGTTCTGAAGTTATTCGCTGAAATATCTTTCTTTTACTTTTCGGAAGTTCCTTTCAGAACAAGTGTTAATTCTAGCGAAGCGTCCGAGTAACCCCGATTGAGATACGCGCAAGATCGAAGTTCCAAAACAACGATTTGTCTACAAAAGCGGTTCTTTATTAAATAATACACAAAATTTAGTTACAAACCTCAACTTGTGAGGTGTCTAGGCGTTTAAACGCGTCGTTCAAGAATGAAAATAGCAAAGGCTTCCTGTAAGAGTAACATGAAGAATGATTACAACATACGATAGTCCAAAGACAGCCGATAGCTGTGTCTAAATTTGATAACAGTTTATGAACAACCGAAACTCGAACCAAGAGCAAACAATATGGAAACTGTTGCGTTTAAGCAAATGCATGAAACTGTGGATAACCGTTACAGTGATTATAATGATAAATACAATGATAAGTAAAATAAACGTTAAAGATATATGTGAACATCTCAGAATGTTACAGTACAACCTGAGTTACAACATAATTGTGAAAATTGTTGGGCATACAACTGCTTACTGAATATAAATAAGTAGTATAAACCAACATACAAAAGAGTAGGAAAGGAATGAGCAGGAACAATGTAAACAAACTTAACAACAAGTTACTTACAAAAGGTGGATTATTGTTCATTCTCATTGATTTTTGATGAATTAACAACATTAAGAGTATCTTTCATCACATTTTCCTTTGTATGTACAACCGAGGATGCATATTCTCAAGATGTCTAGTGTACTATGTTTTCAACTGTCCTGTAATTCATTACCAGTTTTATGTGAAAGCTGTACTCAGGTGAACAGTTTTTTGTTGACTGCTTGTATCAATTTTAAGGAGTCGTAATGGGTTCTCATAACCTTTACTGTACCTTTGGGTTAATTTAGGGTTAACGTGTATTTTTGTAATTTGTTTATATTGACAGATTATTCTGGCACAATAAGGATTCGGAGTTTCTGTAAGGCATGATCGAAAATTAAACGATAGTGAACACATCGTTCAGTTAAGCTATATAGTTTTTTAACCACTGAATGTTTTTTCATCAAGGTCATCCAGTCCACGTGGTTTACTCTGTGAAAAGAATTGGCTGGAACTAATATAGATACTTCAAAACCATGATGGCTTAGCGGGCATATCCTTTTGGAAATATAGGAGCAGTTTGTTATAGCCCTAGAGATTATCATCGGTTTTGTAGTCATGAAACGTATTTATTAAACGAACAGAAGATGCATATTTCAGAATTATCTGTAGGTGTACATGCAAAAAACAGGATGTTTACATTCTCAGATTCTGATTGTAAATCTTTTTTGACATGAAAGCAACACCTGACAGGTTTTGTGTCAATACCCCATCTAGGAAAGAGGTACCGAATAAGGGAAGTAAAATATTAATATCTTTGTACTCAAACACGCTTAATCACAGCATGCAGCAAACAGGCACCTAAGCTAACTGCGTCAAATAGTTTTTTTTCAGAGCTGTCCATGTTATTCATTTCTACCAAATTTCATTGTGGATTTGTTATTAAAAAAGCTCTCCATTTGACTTTTCAAGAATCTTTATCATCTTGAAACCCTTATCCACTCAGAGTGCTCACTCGGAAAAGTGCTCTCAGATCGGGACTCTGACAGGATACAATATTCTAATTGTAGGTCTTGAGTACACCATGCATTACTAAAAAAGTCCCAACCAAGAACGACATCTCTTATCCAATGCTCCTCAGTTTTTAATGATTTTTCAACTGAGGTGATTTACAAATGATGAATTTCTCAGACGTGTGTTTTTATTTTTGTTTCATTGCTTTTGGTAATATCTTTATCTTAAAATCTGCATTGTATCAGGATAAATCGTTTGCTTATACAAATCAAAGCAAAGTGCAAAATTATCAAGAGTCCGATGTATATCCAAACTCAAAAGTATTGGACTACAGCTCAAATTATCAAACTTCACATTATGATGAATTAGTTAGAAAATCACCGGAAAAGCATAATTTCATAATGGATTCAAATGTTAGGCATAGTTTACCAGTATCATCTTCATCCTCTTCGGATCGATTATTGACAAATCAACATCTACCACAAAAACATAAAAAGAAATTACAATTATTACATGAAGCGCAATTATTATTGGAAAAAGCACAACAGAGTAGAAATTGGGCACCGGTAATCTCTCCACCTCCACCACCACCTGTGCAACCACTTATAACTGGAACTATAAATAGTCCTGAAGATAGTCATATACCTTCACCGAATCTATCTACGTGGTCTTCACAATTAAGTCCATCAAGATCAAGTTCACACGATCCGACTGATGTACTGAATCATCATCAACATAATCTATCCTATGAAAATCAAAAATCTCCTGTTGCACAATTTCATGAGGAACCAATTGTCGATCCGCCATTCAACAAATCTCCAAGATCTGACTCGACTAGGTTAGTATCTATGGTTGGCTCTAGTCAAGATAGTTCTGGTCCTAAACAACGTATTGTATTAAAATTATCACGATCGAGTTGTGGCAGTCAGTTGTCTGTTTCATCTTCACAACCACTCGAAGGTGAATCTATGGAGAGATCGGAAAGAAAAAAACGTAAAAAAGAATCAAAGAACGAACGTCGTAGTAAGAATTTGGGGGTAAATTTACCGTTTTGCATTTCATTATAAGTTAAATTATATGTTTATTTCCCAGTAGTTTTTCTTTTTAATCTAGATTAATTTTGTAGTGGTGTTTTATGAAATAAGCGAAACAAACTGAGGAATTTGATAGGCTGAAGTTTATGAATTTGTTAATAAAAATGTTGGTGATAATAAGCATTTCTGGCAAAAACCACTACTTATTGTCATGTCAAATGATAATTTTCCATAATTTTTTTATGAATATGTAAATACCACTAAATGGCCTTTATTAACATGATAAACTTGTTCGGAATAACTTTCAGGTATATATATGTGAACTAGATCTATCTATCATTAGAGTTGAATGCCACTATTACATAAACGAAAAGAGGTAAACTGATTCTTATATGAACGAATTTCAGTTTTTGTAAAGTGGTAAGGTAAGTCAAAAATATGATTAATAGGGGGCTATCTATGTTACACGAAAGCTTATAACTTAATTAGTATTTTCATCGCAGTTTCAGGTGAATAAGGTTCCGATAGACTGATAACACAAAATTGTGTAGTTTCTCTTCATAAGAAATACTCATGGGAATGATTTTCATTAACTCATTATAGTCACTAGATGAAAATGATATTCATAAGACTAGGACATTAAATTATCTGACTATGAGATATGATGAAAAAGTAAAATAGACTATTGTAAAAAGGGGACACTAACATATTATGACTACATATTGCATTCTGTCTATTTAACCATGCGTGAAGTTGATTGTCGTCAAGTAGCCAATCAGTCCTCGCTATTGGTTATGAGACTTCATTTCCGACTATCAAGAATTCTTACCAATAACTCGTGGCCTTAGTCCTTAACTTCGCAAAGTTAACATTTAGAATCTTTTGATTTCTCTATTTTAGGTTGGTTAGCTTCAAAAAAATCAGACAACATTCAGTTTATAACTGAATAGTGGACAACTGCTCCTCGTTTTAAAAATCTGTGTTACGAGTGTTCTATATTTTTCATCCACATCCTGACTATCTGTTTCGCAAGCCAGTATAGTAAAATACCTTTGAAAATATCTTACAAAGTGGGACACTTTAGTAGGCGATTCAATATCCATAGTAATATTACAGTGGTTATACACCTTCGTCTTTTAACTGGATTGTTTTCTGTTACTACTCTAAAATTTGTGAGATTTTCCAGATACCCAACAGATGTGATAGAACATTGATTTTTGTTTTGCGTTCAGTAAGTACTTGTAATCGATCCAGGTTTATTTGCCCACTGAAATGTTTTCTTACTGTTTTATTAATGAAGATTTGTTGATTTGATGAAACATGTTTTTTTGTTGTTGTAGTAGTAGAAATGACCTTATAAGTTTACCAAACTCGGAGATTGTTTAAGATATTTCTATTAAACTTGTCTTTGCTAACAAATAATATCAAATGTAATACATATTTGTATTTATAAAATTTTTACCACTAGAGCTCGCCTACAAAACATTCGTCTGAATGTCATAATACTACTGTAGTGACTACTACTAATACCACTAATGTTTATACTTTGAATAAAGATATAATTAATACTGTCACAAACAAGAGTAAACAAGCTGTACAAATATTTTCTTCGGAAACATCACCTTCATTATGTAAAAGAAATTCACCAAGAAAGTATTCATCTCATGATACATATTCAAATGATTCAAGTCCTGAATTAACATATAATTCACGTAAATCTACACTAAATAAAAATCTTAAAATTTCCTTTGATAACAACAATAATAATAATAATCAGAAAACCTTTGTAGATGCTGATGAACACGATGATCTATTTAAATATAATCGAAGAAATTCAAATCAACAATATTATCAACAATATTCATCGGTTAATAATATACAACAGGATACAAATGATACATTTACATCTGATATTGATTCATTATGTGATTCTGTTAGTCGATCAACTCATTCACATTTACTTCTTATTGACCAAAAAGAAGATGATTATCATGATGAATCCGGAAGAGAAACTCCAGTGGTTGATTATTTTGGTGATGAATTTCAACAACATAATCAGAAAGATCAACAACATTCATCTGCATTTTCATCGTCAACAATTGAATCTTCATTGATGGTAAGAAATGTCAAATATCCTGATGAAATACCTATTGTTAATAGTCAAAATCGTATCCAATCAATTATTAACAATGATACTAATAGTACTAATAGATTAGTTGATTCAGGAGAACCATTAACACATTCAGTTATTGTTAATACAAGTAGAGAATTATATGAAGAATATAATGATTTTACATCATTATCAAAAAATTGTTCAACTTATGAACATTCTAATGATCAAGATGATACAAAACGAAATAAATTCAATATAGATGAAAAAATCAAATTAAAACAATTAAATAATAAATTAAAGCATAAAAATTCTTTTAATTCATCAATTAAACTATTATCTCATACAGGCGTAAGTTATTGAAATTCTTTCTATCAATAAACTTGTCTAGATTTGTTGTTTACTTTATAAAATATATGTAACTCATTGATTTGTCAATAGAACTATCTATAGAGTTATATTACACATAACACAATATATCATCGTTTCTATGATCTCTTATAATTGTAATGAAAAACAAAAGCATAGTTTTCAGATAATGCATATGAAAAGAAATAATATGTCGTTAAATCTACTGTTATGTAAAATTTTCTTCATTTTTTTCTTAAACAATTAATTTTTAAACAATTGAGATCATGAGTCAATTGAAGCTAGACCCCCATGGAAAACCTAGAAGCACTGGACGGCCGTTTCGTCCTATTGTTGGACTCCTCAGCAGTGCGCATCCACAACCCCGCCTCGCGGGATTTACTTTATCGTTATTTACAATTTCCCACTAGGTTCAATTTGGAAATTAGTGATATCAATATCTTCAATTCTTTTGTATCCAGTGCTTCTAAACTCTGTTTTACTTTTCACTTGATTAGAAGGTATTACTTGTTTGATATATTTTACAGTTAAGGATATTCACAATACTTAGTTTTTGTAAGTCAACGTCTTTATGATAAAGCTTACGGATGAAATATTCAATTGCTTGATAAATTATTTTGATGTGCCGTTGAATGACTTTAAGACTGGTATGTTTTAATACTTGGTCCACTAGGGTGCTTGGTGCCTGTGTGGTTACGCCCCAGGATTGAGCTGTACTATTCAGATTGTAGCGTTAATGCCTATACGGTGTCTGGTTTTCCTGTGAAGCGGGATTGAGTTGTACTTCTCGGTTTATAAAATTTAAGCCTGGATGGTGTCTGGCTCTCCTGTTGAATGGGATTGAGTTGTACTGTTTGGGTTGTCACGTGAAAGTCTGGATGGTGTCTGGTTCTCCTGAAAACCAATGTAAAATTACCCTGGCCCTCAAGGTTATATTATATAACTATGAATAACTATGTTTTAATACTGTGCATCTAAACTAAAGACATTTTTTGTACTATCCATGAGGTTATAAACGAAATTTGAGTAGTTGCCCCAAAGTATTTTTCTCAAAGGTAAATAAACGTGTTCAATTACGTGGAGTGATTGACATATTCAAACTACTTCATGATTTTTTTTCACTTAACCCCTTCGCTGAATTTCAAATTTTTATTCCTGTAGTTATTTATGGTTTTCATTGATCACGAATTTAAGGGGTTTTTTAAAATTAGATTCAACAGGTATATGGTATTATACATGTAACATTTTCTACTTGTATACGAATTCGCCCTATTAAGTGATTCAAACATTTTAGGGTCTACGGACCAGTTCGCATTTAATGTATTGTTTTGGGAGTTGTAAATACTGACTTTCTGTTTATTGTGCGCAAACAAGAACAGTAATAAAATTTTTGTTCTTGTTGCTTTCTCTATATACCAACTGAGATAATAGACCATGTGTTTCGAAATTACTTTACACCTTTTATTCTGGGGATTTATTCATTCTTCTCAAACCATTTTATCTTTACCTAATGTGTTTTTACCATCACTGACATACTACTACTATGATGCTTGTCTTGATAAGTTTACCTCACTGGGTTAATATGGTATGTGCTAGGTCCCACATTATTTATGACTGACTGACAGTAGTCTTGTGACTATCGTATTTTTCATTTAAAAATGATTAATTGCTTATGTAAACACTCATATACTTCCAAATACAGTATTTTAATTACTTATTAAAGATTTATGAATGAGACTGTTTGTTTATTTTTAATTTAGTTCATTCAACATTTTGAAACAATGGTTATTAAAATGTTAACCAATAGGTTACTTAACAAGTTACGCATGTAACAACTCAATTACCTGTTTATTTTCCTTTTTATTTAGAAGAACCAACTAGATCTTGAAAGATCCACTGACTCAACAATTCGGGTACCACCAGCAGTAAAACAGTTTAAAGTATCAGATCATTCCAATTCGATGAATAATAATTGTCAGTCAAAATCACTTAGTAATCTCGAAAGTAATTCAGCAGACGTGTATAATAGAAAAAAGCCAGTTGCGAAAAAGTTCAAATCTCATGATAGCTCGTCTTCTTCTTCTTCTTCATCATCATCATCATCATCCTCTTCGTCTTCAACAACATCGTCATCGTCAAAACGATTGAATATACCTGCAGTTGATCATACTACATTGTATGGAAATTCACCAACCATTCATAAAACAAAAGACAATGAGTTGAAAAATATGGGTAAATTTAAAACAATTGAAAAGTCATCAGAACAACGGCAACACTCATCAAATAAAATGCTACCCAGCGATCATGAAACATGTAAGTTGTTTTAGTTATTTTCTTTGTTTCCGCTGATTAACTTCAATGAATACACATATGACGTCACTGAAGAGTTTCAGTTTCTTTAATCCGATATATTTGTTAGTAGTAAGGAATTCTGAGCAAAAAATATGCAGTACTTCAACAAGTGGCCCATGTTTTATCTATATGTTAAATATTCATTAATAGGAAGTATAAGAAGGTAGTTCAGCCATGATTCACTGTTGTTTCTTTATTTCTGAACATTTTCAAGCAGTTTTAGCCCTTTTCTATCCTTTTTTCAGTAATTTATTGCATATATTATATAAGTTGCATCTCATTTAATAATACAAGCAAGAAATTTACTAGAAGTGAATTTTTTCGCTTCAATTTTGAACCAATTAGCTTCACTGTAGGTTGTAAGCTTTTTATGAAACTTTATGTGAGTACACATAGTTAATATGTATAGTTAGTCAGTAACTGACCGACGGACTGATTGAGTCAGTTAAGATAAATCCGAAACAGTAAAATTTGTTTTAAAGTATCAGGTGATCCAGATTGTTAAGGAAATAATACCTAATATAAATTTTCATCAATATGGCGTCATAGTGCAAGGTGTTTTACATCTATCTCAATACAGTTGAAAAAGTTGGCTATTTGATGAATTAGCTGGTATAGCTCAAGTTTTGACATTAATTTTCATGTAAACCGTCTGAATCATAGTATTAAGAAATTCCGGAATATTCGGGACAGTTGCGCACGTCTACTATTTTTACATTTCATATGACTTATACTTTTTAAAGTTTCTATAAATAGTAATTGTGAATGTTAAGTTAGTTATAATCAAAGTAGAGAGTGATGCAAATGTGTGTTGACCCAAGTTTTCATATCTTATTAACACGACAAGATGAATAACGAAAACGATCAAAGTAGTGTTGTAGCAATAAGATGAGAACTAACCATTGGGAATATGGTTGATAAATACAAAATGCAAAAGCATATATGAACGAATTCTGAGACTTACACTATCACAACATAGTATTATGAATATTCTGTTATGATTTTTAGTGTGGAGGGAAATGGCTTATCGTAGTAGTGTTTACTGATTAGATTAATTGTCATAATGATGGAACAGATGGAAAAATAGGTCGTGTGTGCTGGATTTAAATTAAATTATACATACTAGGAAAGAACCAATCACATCTTGCATTTTTATTTAAAATAGGTCTTAATCTGCACATATATATCAATGCTAGTGTACTCAATTCTAAATGAACGACTGTTCACTAGCACCTAATTGACTTTCAGCCTTTTTTTAAATACTTTTTACGGTTGATAGGAAAGAGAAGTAAGTCATTTTGAATCACTTCATCACTTGTTTCAATGTATCATAGTGTTTATACCATTAATTCAGGGGTCCTTCAGATTTCTTATGAAGGGTATCGTTGAGACTTTCCATTTCGTGTCCACTAATTGAGACATCAGTTTGTATGAATAATACTGGTGCCCGCAACACAGCTGTAGTGTATTCTAATATTGATTGGGTCAGCCGGATTTTTTTGTTTCCAATCAACTCAACTAAATCATGGCAAAAGTCACGCAATGCACATATTTCGGTTTCTACATTGCATATGGTTGACTAAGTCTACGAGAGAAGAGTTCTCAAAGTTGAACCTTTTTCACCTCTTCGCCCATTTCTAACATAAAGTAAGAGATTCACGCTTTAGATCAGTCAACGATGTTTGCCCGCCTATAATTCCTAACTGGCACAAGTCTATGACGTAAGCTTTCTTGTCAATAGCATTCAGGAAATCTACGCGACAAAAGGGTGTATTTTAATGTCCATTCTCCTTGTGGTATTTACAACATTGAAACTTGATCTTCAGAATTCGATCCGATACTGGGATGTAGGTAGTCTGATATTAATTAACAACCACTTTGTGTAATTAAATTGCACTTCCTTAACAGTTACTAATACGAAGGTGCTGTTTGATACCGTTTATTTTTGTGTGTCTGACCTGTTTTAATGGTAGAAATTATATTTAGATCACTTAGGCTCCCGAGTTTTTATAAAAATAATGATCGTGTGAAATTTCAATTTTTTTCATAAGTTTATTTTTTTCTGTCACTATCCAGGGAAATCAATGACAGTCTCCGGTACACATAAATATGCTTCAAAAGTTTTATATCCCACTGAGAATAATAAGCAAAATAATAATGAACAATCGGTAATGAGAGAACAGTCAAATCGAGGACCTTCCAATAGTTCCACTTCATTCGACAAAGTCAGTAACGACAGCAATAACATTGCAACATCAACTGTGTCGCGAATCGATAATGACTTTATTAATACAGAGTTATCATCTCTATCTTCGGATTCACCATGTGATTCTTCATCATCCTCTGTCACTCCACCAATGTTATCTGATGAAACTTTTCATTTGATAAGTGTGAACGAAGTTGAATTCGATGAATCTCAAAGTGGTACTGTAAACAACTCAAAATCAAGTGTAAACAAACCTATTGCGACTCCGGCTTCTCTACTCTCGGTACGTGGATCAGAATCTGTTGTCGTACAGGAGAAAAACGATACAAATCCCACCAGTAAAGTAATCTCATCTAATAATAATAGTAGCAAGTTGGAAAGATGTATGAATCTCGATCATCAGGTTACTTCTGCAAACGTTGACAACGATAATTCAGAATCCACAAAACCCAGTGATTATAATTTGGAAGTTTTATTCGATAGATTAATTCGTTTACGTGAACCACATCTAGCTATTCGTATGAGTGAAATCCTGTTATACTACATATCTGCAAAACCACTTGATTCTTCAGAACGTAAAAATAAGTCAAATCTCAGTGCATCCAATAGTAATAACAGTAGTAATTTTGGCAAGGGTGTAAAAGTGATACACAATAACCCTAAATTGATTGCATTTGACCTGCGTAAGTTACCTAATTCATGCATTGAAAAATTAACAGCTCTTATTAAAGAAGATGAAGATATATTTCGAAAACACAATTTCACAACTCTTTCTAAATCAAATGATATAAAAAATAGTATATGTAATGCTAGAAGACCCGTTCTCACTGAAGACGTTTGCCGTAATGATAACTTTCATAATCCCGATAGGCGTTATGAGTGCAGTGATCAAAGAGATTCCTCAGGATCTGGAGATCCATAGTAATTTTACTTTATGTTTGTGATAACCCTTCATCTCTTCGATATTAAGACGATTGCACATGTAAAGTGATGCCACGCTTTTCTGCTTTGTACATTATGTTTCCGTATATACCTGATTTCTACTTTCTTGTCTTATCATTATTTTGTGCACAGATACGTGTTTTAGTTTATTTGCTTTTCTGAAAACAAAACTGTACATATACTCGAAGTTTTCAAAGTTTCTTGTACTTTGCTGTTCGTCTAACTTGCTCAAAATACATGTCATTAAATGATATGCATTCGTAGGATTTTTCGTTGTATTTCTGGTTTCCTGCAATTTTTCACACTTAATGCCTTACAGCGAAATCTTAGTGCACAAAGCTCTTTTCTATCATACAAATTTCATTTCGAGAGTTACCTTGTTCTCATTTTTACCCAATATGTGCTCCGGAATATCATCCACTGTATGTTTAGAGTAAGTAGCTGACGTGCTCACTAAAACATACTGTCTCAGTAACGTTATTTAGGTTGAGTTACGTCATTGGTGTGCGGAAATCTGTCATACAACTAGACAGGAAGTTGGATAAAGCCTTGTTTGATGGAACTTTTGTATCCATTTTCTTGTAGTTTAGTTAGAGATGAAGTCTGTCCTTGCTTCTTGTAATTCTAGTTCCTGTTATGCAGTAGCGTGGACTCGGGGAATTTCTCAAACAAAGGGAAATGTAATTTTTTTTATAGATTAGGACTTTTTGGTAGTAGACACGCCCGACTTAATCTGAGGTCGACTGCCTCAGTTTTGTGTTACCTCCAGGCTAATGTATTGAATTATGGTCTGCATTTCTACTTGTCAGTCTATAGGGTAACGTCATCCATCTTTCAAATTTGCTATCGTATGTTGAAGATCGGATCCTAGTTTAGGAGTTCGAGTGCTTTTCCTGTAAATATTTTACTACTCTGGCAATTGTAGGGTTTTCTTGAGCTTTTCTGAAGAAGTACTTAATTTCTAGACCTTTCCTGTTTTGGAGACTTAATATTTTTCTACGGAGAGTTGATCAGGTCGATTTATAAAACCTATTATGTATGTATCGACTGGTACCGGGCTCGATGGATAGCCAATACTGGGCTTCGGAATTCGATACTGTGTCTTATTCTTCAATCACTAAGACCGAAGTGACCAGCTGTTTTGATATAGTCATGTATGTCACTATATCTTCTCTGTTCTAGGTCCACTGGCATTGCCTGGGATTTTTAACTTTACGAAGCGTATTCCAGACAAACACATCCATAGAAGGAAAAAAAGTCCAGTTTACTAACAAACAACTTTGGTCTTGGCCATGATATATATTTTGGGCACACATTCTGCTAACTCCTGAAGTACAAGTGCAGTGAGAGAACACTCAGGTGGCAAGACCAATTTACTACTTAGTACAAGATTACTTCATCGTAAATTATGAAAACCATACATTAAATACTCCACTTGCACATCTTCTCTAAGTTGTCTCTTACAAACTTCATCGTCCCATCATTCATGTTTTTGTTAAAAACACTGGTTACAATCTTGTTTTACCCAACTTGACCTTCACAACCTTCTTCCAGGCACTCCACTTCTAATGGGTGTTTAATACTACTTATGTCTGTCGACACAAGTAACATAAAACCCACTACGTCTCGTGCAAACCATAATGATCAGTCTGTTTTGTTTTCTGCATGAATATACTGCAAGTGACCCGCTTCCAGTAAAGTTTTACTCACCATCTGGAGGCGTGAGTGTTGGTTACCAAATTAAGCGGATGGGAAGCAAATTTTCGGCACTATAACCTAGTTGGTGAGTACGGAAAATCCTTCTAGAGGGGATTGAAAACACTGATTCTAAACCAGTGATGAACATGAACTCCGAAATTCTTGGGAAACAAATGGTGTCCGTCATCAGTTATCACGTAAATGCATCTCTTAATGCTGATTTTCTGCCTCGTGGATGTGACCACAGGATCAAAAACTCGAGCCACACATAAACTAAATGATGACTATAATTAGAAAAAATATTCACGATTTAATTCTCATTCTAGCAAATCATACTAAAAAACTAGTTGTTAATAATTATCTTCATTTGACGTAGGGTCACTTGTCTATCCTTTTATTCACGTTTTGCATATTCCTTTTGTTGTTAACTCTTATGACAGTCCGCCAGTTGTGTAAATCTTGTCCTATCTAAGCAATCTGAAGTCACTGACTGGCAGTAAGTTGGACGCTACCACTGTCGAAAAATTCTGAACCAGCCCATCTGAAACCGTGTATGACGCTAAAACAAGCTCCCTTCACTTTTCTCACATTAATGTAGATAGGATAAGAGGTAGGGTTAATTACGCCTTTAAAACATCTTGTAGCAGTATGTAGATTCTCGAAATAAATCTCTAAGTCTCCAACATTGATGCTGAACTCTTTAGTTTTACTGGGTACAAGCTAACTGAAGGAGCTCGGTGATTACGACGTCATACGCATCACTTTTAATCACTCCCGACCGTTGTTGCTACCTTGACGTGGTGGTCAGGCTTGCCTATCGTGATGAAGCAACCGAGCTACACTGGCTGGAACAACCGTTCCTCAAGGTCCTACCATGTCAGACAGGTCGGTTGAAGAGCGGTAAGACTAAAAGCAACAAACCCAAGGTCCGAAGGCGAAGTCGTACTGCTGAATGTACAGAGGTGTGACAGCAGTAAGGTGTTTCCTTCAGACAACCAGCATGACAGCGATGCTGCCTTCCCACAAGGAGGGGTGGGGTTAGAAAAGGTCGACCCTAAAAATGCACACCTCACCTTACCTCACGGATTTCCGTCTCCGGCGGTAAGGCCTTTTGAAGAACGGAGCTAACACGTCAAAAACCTCCCACGAAAAGGCCGTGCGCGACCGGCCTCAAGCAGTTGTCCCTTGGGCACTGCGGTCACGCTCTCAGGTCACTGAGACCACCTCTAATCCAATTTCCTTTTCAGGTACCTCCAGAAGAACCCTTCCTCGGTGTGGGCAACCGGGAAGTGATAACCGCCCTCATACCTCTAACAGCACTCGAGACCACTGTATTCATAACCTCTGATGACTTTTAATCACTATCCGGCTTGGACCAAACGCCTTTCAACATATCTACAAACATGCAAATATACCTTTGGACTCAGCTGACACCCTTGAGTTCTAAGTGTAATACAGATAAGAGCGTCGTCAAACCTTTACTACCTGTAGCATCTTCATTTTTAACATCTAATAATAATATGTCTGTTGTTTATCTGAGACTCACGTTAAAAACTATCATGAAGTACTGCAATTTATCTTTCCACCTGTCGCCTCCGAAAGCCTATTTTGCATGTGTTTATCCGGGGATACGTTGGAATCTTCTGGTTTTTCCTGACCTTGTCAAACTAAGCGGTAGGGTTGAGGCTGTAGAGGTAAATAAATCCCCAAAATAAATAGCCCTGTAAGTTTTCGACATTGGATGCTGACCATATGTTTCAGTGGACTCATCTAGCTGAAGGCGCTCGGTCATGCATCCGCACCAGATCATGTGTGGCAACGCGGTTCTCAACTACTACTGCAATCGCTAGCCAGATTAGATCAGAGAATTCCGATGTATTGGTCATCGCCAAATATAGTCTTTCGATCTCCTTGACTCTGTCTTTTGATTTCTCTGGGTGGGAACGAAATACAATAGAAGGTGTTACTGGCAAAAGCGTTGTCAAACACTGAATACTTGCGTCATCCTCAAGGCAGCGTTTGTCGGTTGAGGTTTCATTAATTATCGATTACTTGCTGCTGCGTTAGTGTATTCCACCAAAGTGAGTAGAACATATGTCTTCTTATCATCTCGAACTACTCTTCGATAGATTGCAGCGTGGATGCAAGGAACGATGATTTATTGTTGACATTGTTTTGATCATATTCATATCAGTAAAAAAGTCTAAAGGTCACTGGAAGACGTGAAAAACAGGAGGAAAACAAGCTGGTATAGTTTCAGATCACCACCTAGTCCTTGCCAAGGTGAAACTGAAGCTATAAATGCACCAGATTAATAAAAACCAGCATCGCAAAAGTTTAGTACAGCTTTCCTCACAGATACCGACAAACTCAACGAATTCAATATAACTCTCAACAATAGATTCCGAGCCTTACAAGATCTACTGGAAGAAGAGAAATCTACAGTGGAGAACGATTAGAAACGGATCAAAGAAGCACTCAATTGACGTGCGATAAGTTTCTGAGCCGCAAGAAGCATCATCATAAGGAATGGATCTCTTGGCTGCGGCAGTCTTACAGTTACTCGTAGTTCTAAGGTCGCTGATTATTATGACTTCTAGATCTTTGTTGTTCATTACCTCAATTACCACAACTCCACATATTACGTGATGATATGGACCGTCTAAATTATTTATTTGAAACACCAAACTCCTGTTAGCATCAACTCCTAACAACCAATCATACATCCATTTAACCAGTGGATTTTGGTCATCCCGTTTTGGTAACATATCTGAAATAATATGTATGAGTCTTTTCAATTCTTTATGTTGTTTGCGAAGAGTAGAAAAAATGACTTTGCTGTAACTGGCAAGTCTTTGGCATGGAGCAAAACTGAAGAGGACCAAAGACGTTGCCCTCGAAAACTCCACTGTTCACAGATTCTCAAGTTAATAAGGCACCGTTCTCTTGTACTGGTTGTCTTTTATAACTGAGAAAGTTATTTATCCTCTTGACGATTTCACAACGGGTTCTAATCTATTCCAGATTTAATTCAAGACCCATATGAGAAACTGTCAAGGACTTTACCTGAATCGTTGAAAACTGAATCCACCGGAATATTACTATATTTCACTGCAGCTCAGTATTCTCCTGGACAAGCAGGTATGTCAAGCATGAAAAGCCTTTCCTACAATCGTAGTGTTTTCCGGCTAAAAATCACCCCTTTCTATACAGTTCAGAATGGGCAGCGAATAATCCTTTCCAGAATTTTGACAACCACACTCGTTAGATTGATGGATCGATAGTAACTAGCTGAGTGTCTGTTCCACAACATATACACCTGACTGGTAGGTGTGTACTTCCGGTCTCTTGACGGTCTCAATGACACACCCAACCTTGTAGTAGGGGGCTCAGCAATTACATCCGTTAGAGATTTCACAATACCAGGATGAGCATCGTCAGGACCATTGGAATTTAGTGGTTTAGCAAGCTGCAGTAATCGTAGTTGAGTTTCTTTCTCAGTGACCGCAGGATCTATAGACACGCTGCCATGACCAGCAATAACTGTTGGTTGATCCTCGTCACCAGTAGAAAGCACTTTACTAAAGTATACTGTTAGTGCTTCGCCATTTGTCACATTATTCCTTGCCGATATCAACAGATGTGCAAGTAAGAGAAGTGATGACATTACATT